CGTTCTATCTATCTATCTATCTATCTATCTATCGTTCTATCGTTCTATCTACCATTTATATTTTACAACTTTTTTTTTTTAATGTTTTCAGTTTTAACTATAATAACCCTATATATACAGTATATATAATAAGAAAGCTTCACAGGCTGCAAGATAAACTGGACTGCCTGTACTAGATTGTTATAGTGAACCCCTTTCTTCTGTGAACCCCTTTCTTCTTTGTATTCGCGTATACTTTTTTTTTTTTTTTTACCATCTTTAAAACTTAGCATTGTACTTCTAATGCAATTTCCTGCTCAAGACGAATCGCTTTTGTGAGTCGCTTTGGATAAAAGCATCAGTAGATGTAAATGTCTTCAAGGACACGACTTGCACTTATCTATCTATCGTTCTATCGTTCTATCTATCTATCTATCTATCGTTCTATCTATCATTTATATTTTACAACATTTTTTTTTTATGTTTTCAGTTTTAACTATAATAACCCTATATATACAGTATATATAATAAGAAAGCTTCACAGGCTGCAAGATAAACTGGACTGCCTGTACTAGATTGTTATAGTGAACCCCTTTCTTCTGTGAACCCCTTTCTTCTTTGTATTCGCGTATACTTTTTTTTTTTTTTTTACCATCTTTAAAACTTAGCATTGTACTTCTAATGCAATTTCCTGCTCAAGACGAATCGCTTTTGTGAGTCGCTTTGGATAAAAGCATCAGTAGATGTAAATGTCTTCAAGGACACGACTTGCACTCAGAAGATTGTGGCCATTACTCTTGCTTATTTAGCTTTTCAGAGCATTGTGGTCGAGTCCGTCGGCCGTCTGCAGAATTTTCTTGAATGGCCGCTCGGAGAGATCCAGGAGGTCTGTAATACCTGGAGAAAGCCATCCATTAGCATTCCCATTCAGTGGCAGTCGCCTGGCCATAAATGCAGAGGGAAATGATGTCATGTGGATGCTGATTGGCTGATGGCGCCGCAGGAATCTGCACAGTCACAAGTCATTGACTAGTGAGCGGCCTGAGCCGTGACGTCAGCGGCAGCGCTCGGGGAAACCTATCCATTTCATGCTGGCTAAACATCTAGTATGATATAACAACATATTTATGATTTATATGTTGCTTGGTACGTTTTTAATTCATAAAAACCAGTGATGCTTTTGAATGGTGGTCAATGGAGAAGATGCTTTTTGACAGCAGAATGGTTGATGAGTTGATGTCAGAAGTACCTAGGCCATTCATATTGCAAATTAATGTAGGTGACATTTAAAGAGTAAGCAAAGAAATATTAATTCACTACATCAGTTATGATGGTGCGATGCAGTGGTTTACTGTTTACTGAAAGCTTAGAGGTTCAAACCTGCAAGAGTCAATGGATTTTATTGTTTTACACTTTCTAAGACCCAGATTTTTCATCTGAAACTGAATTGTTATGTTAACTATGAAAATGCTAAACAAAAAGTAAATGTAAACCATTTCAATATTTATTATGTGAAAATTATTTCTAAATTATATATATATATTT